GTTGGCGTAATGGCTATGTCGCTGGACTCCCATGTAGTCGACTGCGGTTCAAGTCTCAGACCCGGTGGCTTGAAACTCATGCTGGGCACGTGTGTGGGGGTGCCCAAGATCCCGAGAAGAGAATGGAGGAAAAGAGATTGCGGCATGGCCATCCCTCCCAGGGGTGATTTCTTGCTTTCTGTCTCTCTGTCTCTGTCAGTCTGCCTGGCGAGTGCACACACCCTATAGCAAAAAAAAAAACTCTCAAAAAAAAAAAAAAAAAAAAAGAGAGAGAGAGAGAAAGGCCTAGTGGTGAAGAGGAAGCCCAGTGGGCTCTAGCTGTTCCTGTCAGGGCTGAGGACTCCCATGCTGACCTTGCCTCTCTGTCCCTAAAGCCCTTGCCCAGCCTGCACCATTGCTCCTGGGAGGCTCGCAGCATGTAACGCATGTCCTGTACACCTGTGGAACAAGGCCAGGGTTCCTGCCTTGAAAACTGAGGCTTGGGGTAATACAGCGAGGCCCTGAGACCAGATGGAACGTGTCCATGGGCTTGCTGAGGGACATGAGAAGCTGTGCCAGTGGGACAGGAGGCCTAACCCTGATTTCAGGAGCAGGAACATGCAGGGAGCATTTGGGCTGGAGGTGCCACAGAAGCGTGCCTGGGCCACAGGTGGAGCAACTGGAGCATGAAATGTCACCAAAAAGTGGGCAGGGAGCTGGTTCTATGCAGTTTGAGCTTGTGGCCATGTTGGATCTGCAGACACCACTGTTGACTCTTCAGGAACAGGTGTGTCCAGACTTGAGGTAGAGAAAATTCTGTCATGGTAGATTCTGGAAGTCCCAGTGAGGGAGTGGGATGGGGGGTGAGGGGCCAAGGAAGCTGGAACTCAGCATTATTTGCTGCCCACTGAGCATTACTTACTGTCACTGAGGTATGTAGGTAGTGCAGGTGACAGCAGGCACAGGGGTGGAGGGTACCACTGTCAGGGAAGGTCTCCAGTGAGGCCAGTGGAAGGAAGTGAGCACAGGAGTTGTGAGGAGAGAGTTTTCTGGGCAGGGCAGGCACTGTTTAGGAAATGGTGAGAGCAGAGGTGGGGAGATGTGAAGGTGTGGTCTTGGGAGGATGTCAAAGCACCAGAGTGAGTAACAGTGCATGGTCCAGTGTTACCAGAAGGGGAAGGTGAAAGACCAGGGACACTACTTGGTGTCCAGATGATGGGCCTTAGTGTTTCAGTTAAAGTGAGAGGCTCTCAAGATCTTCATTTGAGCAAGGATTCAGAAATGTGAGAGTCTCTTTAGGTGTCAGAAGAGAAGAAGGAGCTGCCAAAGCTTTTCCTCTGTCAGTTTTACGTGTCTTCTGCCTTCACATAGATGATCTCACTGCTCATCCATTGTTATAGGCCAAAAATCGGAGTCCAGCAAACACTAGTCAGAATAGCCAGAATACTCTTTAGGGGTACAGATACCTTCTACAGGACAGCTTCTCTGAAGACTGAGTCTCAGTTGAACAGGATGGAATCTGATGTTTCACGTTGGTCTCCACTGCACATGCTTCTGCCTGAAACACTCTTAAGACCTCACTTTTCATCTCTGAAGAGAACAGACCTCTCTCTGCTATGGCAAGAGCCACCTCTACACACTGGCAACTCCTGAGACCAAATCTGAATGCCATCAGTCATCACCGAAAACAGAATGATAAGCCTAAAAGGCTTATACCTTGCAGTGCAGAAGAGGAAACAAGAAAAATGTGTAACAATATAACACAAAGTATGTGATGTTTTCTTTGTACAAGTGGGAAGGGTGAGAAGCTCCTGCCTTTGGTTCTTGCTAAAGGCCTGCTGTGGGTGTAATAAAGGTGGCTTGGAGGCCCAGGTTGGGGGCTCAAGGTCTTGTCCTGAGCTGGCTGCAGGTGGGTCCTGAGATGGACTCTGGGTTATCAGAGTTAGACAGGCTCCTTAGTGCCTGTGCAACCTTGTCGCTTGTCAGCCCATCTAGCTCTTCCCTGGTCCTCCCAAGATCTGAGACTGTTACCCTCTATGGGTGCCCTGTCTCCCTCACCTCCTTCATGGCAGACAGTGAGAGATTACCCCCAGGGTGGAGGCAGGTGGCAACACCTTTCTCCTCCAGTCTCCTCCTGGAATTTTGGGCATGCACGCATATGCACACAGCATGATTTTGAAGCTATTAGGTCCAGGACTTGAACCTCAGTTGGCCTTGTGGAACTCCAGTGCCTGAGCCACCATGCCGCTCACTGGCCCCCTTCCAAATGACTCTGTATTTATTGTTTCAGATTGTGCCACCAATGCTGAGGACAAGGAACTTCGGGATGAAAATGTTTCTCACAGTTTGGAATCAACAGCAGACAGGGCAGAAAACTGTGCTGATATTTCCCAGCCCTCTGACCCTAGAGAGCTTCATGATGATGTGTTGGAAAGAAACTGGAGGGTCCCTGATATTGAGAAGCCAGTGCAACCCCCCTGTAGGGAGGGAGGCTTCACACCTGTGCCAGTACTTTGCAGGAACCCCTTACAGGAGAGAGATCTGGACTGTAGCGGTTTTGACAAAACCAACAGTCTGAGCCCAAACCCGATGGCATATCAGGGAATCCTTCAAGAAGAGAAGCCACGTACACATATGTGTCCCCAGAGCTTCCAGCACAGCATACACCTTACTGGCCACAAGGAGGCTCCCATGGCTGACAGTCCACTCATATGTAACAAGTGTGGAAAAACCTTCCAAGGAAATCCTGAACTTACTCAGCATCTGATAGTACACAATGGAGTGAAATCCTTAATGTGTAATGAATGTGGGAAATTCTTCAGCCAGAACTCAGTTCATAAAAACCACCAGAGATCTCACTTGCATGAGAAAGCCTTCCATGGGCATTTGAACCTTGCTAAACACCCAGTAGACCACAGTGGTGAGAAGCCTTATGTGTGTATTGAATGCGGAAAAGCCTTCAGTCAGAACTCAGGCCTTAAAAAGCACCAGAAGTCTCACGTGAGTGAGAAGCCCTATGAATGCAATGAGTGTGGGAAGGCTTTTCAACGGAGCTCAAACCTCATCCAGCATCAAAGAATACACTCTGGGGAGAAACCATATGTGTGTGATGACTGTGGGAAAGCCTTCAGGCGGAGCTCAAACCTCATTAAACACCACCGGACACATACCGGTGAGAAGCCCTTTGAGTGCACTGAATGTGGGAAGGCCTTCAGCCAGAGTGCACATCTGAGGAAGCATCAGAGGGTCCACACTGGAGAGAAGCCTTACAAGTGTAATGACTGTGGCAAACCGTTCAGCCGGGTCTCCAACCTCATCAAGCATCACAGGGTTCACACTGGGGAGAAGCCCTATAAGTGCAGTGAATGTGGGAAAGCCTTCAGTCAGAGTTCCAGCCTTATCCAACACCGGAGGATTCATACTGGAGAGAAGCCTCACGTGTGTAATGTGTGTGGGAAAGCCTTTAGCTACAGCTCTGTGCTCAGAAAGCACCAGATAATCCATACAGGAGAAAAGCCGTATGGCTGTAGTGTCTGTGGCAAGGCCTTCAGCCACAGCTCAGCTCTCATTCAGCATCAGGGTGTGCACACAGGTGACAAGCCCTATGAGTGTCATGAATGTGGGAAGACCTTCGGTCGCAGCTCTAACCTCATCCTTCACCAGCGAGTCCACACTGGAGAGAAACCCTATGAATGTACTGAATGTGGGAAAACTTTCAGCCAGAGCTCAACCCTTATTCAGCATCAGAGGATTCACAATGGCCTGAAACCCCACGAATGTAACCAGTGTGGTAAAGCCTTCAACCGAAGCTCAAATCTCATTCACCACCAGAAAGTTCATACAGGGGAGAAACCCTACACCTGTGTTGAATGTGGTAAGGGCTTCAGCCAGAGTTCACACCTTATCCAACATCAGATAATACACACTGGTGAGAGGCCCTATAAATGCAGTGAATGTGGAAAAGCTTTCAGTCAGCGTTCAGTCCTTATCCAGCACCAGAGGATTCACACTGGGGTGAAGCCTTATGACTGCACTACTTGTGGGAAAGCTTTCAGCCAGCGGTCAAAGTTAATTAAACACCAGTTGATTCACACAAGGGAGTAGCCTGTTGGGCTGGTAGGAGTGAAATTGAGCATGGTTTCCACTTAAACTTTTCTCTGGCCATAGTCTTGGCCTTTCCAACCTCCCATACCTGCAGCTGGGGCTCAATCACTGCCCCTTGACTCTGCATCCAGCAGCCTCAAACCCTGGTTGGGATCTCCCTTTGAACACCCTTACAGCCTCCCTTCTTACTGCCCTAATGGCATTGCTTCTGCTTCATGGAACCTCTTGTTTGTTTTTGTTTTGTTTTTATAATTTGTGAACAGACTTCTATGTTAGGAGGGAGGTTATAGGGGCTACATATCCATAAATAGTTTACTGTAATCAAAAGTTACCAGAAAAGTAAAGTGACTTCGGTTTGTGGTCATCACAGTGATTCTTTCATTTGGTAGTCAGAATGAAAGTTCTTTGTTGATGGCTATAATTTATACTTTGTTTACATAAAATCAAGTTGAAAGTCATACTACCCAGAGGTAGTGTGTGCACATCACCACTAATTCCTTGCCCTTCTTTGTTCCCCTATTCTATAACTTCGATTACAGGCTTCCCTACTGCCCTGCTTTTTTTTATGTGAACCTGCAGCCTGAGATCAGCTTTCTCCAGCTCTGCTGTGACTCATACCACAATAACCTTGACTGTTTCTCAGCAGCAGGACCTACAGAGGCAACTCTCTATGCATCTCACCTTCCCCACAAGCTTGTGAGTGTGGTTCTTTCCCAGGCACATTCATTACCAGATATTTTTGAAGCAGCTACTACTGGAGGGGTCCAGCCTACCTGTTCCCTGAGCCTTAGTTTCCCAGAGATGTGCCCCTCACCTTGAGAGGGGATAACTCAGCCCAAAGGCAATATGTCTCTCACTAGGGAAGCCCTAGACACCATCCAACAGATCTCAACATGGGGATGTCACAGGAGCATTTCAGCAAACAGCCCAGAGGCCAGACCTGGGCACCACAATAAAAAAAAAAATTAAATTAAATTTTAAAAAAAAATAAGAAAGAAAAAGAAAGAAAAGAGAAAAGAAAAGATAAAAGATTTTATTGGAACACAGCCATGCCTATTTATTTATGATGGCTTTTGCATAAAAAGTTTACTGTCTAGGACACTACCCTGTGATTTTAGGTAGCTTTCAGGGGCTGGATATGCTCAGGAGCTTAGAATTTGTGCAAAATTTGACCAGGGAACATCTGTGCTGTGAAATGATTGCCTATGTTCTCAGACACAAAATCAATCTCTCTTAATGCCTGTTCCTATATAGCAGGTCATGACGTCAGCCGCCACGTGTTATCTTGAGCTCTTGCTGCAGTTAAGAGTTTTGAGAAGATTAAGTAGCATGATGTACTTTATGCCTTGTCCTTAGCACTCGTGTTAGGTATTTTGAGTCACGGAATGTGAGTATCTCACAGAATCATTAGGAGAGCTGAAGAAATAGGCTTGGGAGCCAAGCTTCTAGCACCATGCCATAGAAGTGCCCTGCCAAGGGAGCTGCTTTGTACTTGAGAATCACACACCCAGGCCAATACACAAATATCAGACTTCCTGTTAAACTCTGCCTTGACTTAATCTTGTGTAGACGTATCTAAGCATCGGAATCAACTCTTGCCCACTAGCAGCAGGAAGGCCTGGAAGTGTAGTTTGTGTCTTCTGTGTTGGGAAGGCTGTAGAGGTAGATAGCTTCCAAAATAGAGTTTCATGAGATTTTTAAGTCATAAATAACAGATGTCTGCAATAACCTACATTTTTGTAATTTTGCAATAACCTACATTTTTTTTTATTTTGAAATAATTTCATACAGAAAAGTACAGGTTGAATATCCCTAATCCAAAAATCTGAAATGCTCTAGAATTAAGCTTTTTGAGGGTCATGGTGCCTCAATTCCATACCTAACCTTATGTAACAGGTTATAGTCAAAACACAGCAATATAGGTGGCTTGGATCCCACATGGCCAATTTCATGGTTCAAGTTCTGAAATAAGTGGCTTGAGAATCATGATAGGCATGTGTGTGTATGCCCAACATCCAACATCCTGAGAGAAGGGTAAAGGAGAAGGAATTACATCATGTCCATCCCTCTGGGGAGCCACTTCTCATTTTCCTTTTGTCTCTCTGGCAAGCACACATACCCTATAGCAAAACTTAATACGCACAAAAAAACTACAATACAAAAAAATATTGTCAAAAACTATCTTCAGGTTATGTGTATAAGGTACATATGAAGCATAAATGAATTTCATTTTTAGACTTGGATCCCACTCCAAGTTATCTCATTAGGTGTATGCAAATACTGAAAACCTGAAAAAAAAAATTGAAATTTCAAACACTTGTGGCCCAGACATTTTGAATAAGGGATGTTCAACCCATGGAAAGAATACCCATAACTCTTCACTCAGATCCCCAGTTAACATGGTCACATTTGCCTTATTCTTTCCTCTTCTATATATAGACACAACTGAGACAAAGTTGCACGTGTGATGTACCTTTACCCTTGAATATATCAGTATATGCTTCATGACCACAGTGATGTTACCATCAAAGTCAGAAAATGAACATTGATGATTTTGAATATAAACTGGTTGTCCCAGGAATGTTCTTTTTAGCCATTTAATTTTTTTTTCTTCTGGTCTAGGATCTATTCTGAGATCATACATCTGTAGTTGTCATGTGCTAAATAGAACAGTTCTTCAGCCTTTGTTTCTTATGAAATTGACTTGCTCAAAGAGCATAGACCAGTTATTTTGTGAAACATCCTTCACCTTAGATTTGTTCAGTGTTTTCTGATGAGTTGGTGGAAACTACACGAGAAATTTCCTTGGTGTGCTACATCAGGACACATCTTTTTATCAAAAGAGAGATTTTTTTTGCTATAAGGTGTGTGCCCTCACCAAAAACAGAGAGACAGAAAGCAAGAAATCTCTCTCCCCAGTGGTGATGGCCACGCTGTAATCCCTTCTCCATTCTCTTGGGATTGTGCACACATGCATGCACACATGCCTGGTGTGTTTTAAGCTGCAGGGTCAGGGACTTGAACCACAATTGACTACATGGGAGTCCAGCAACATAACAATTATACCATCTGCTGGTCCCAGGAGACATCATTTTTGTCTCTCAGGTGACATTAATCTTTTCTTAAGTTTTTGTTTTAGTTTTGCTATAGGGCACATGTGCTCGCTGGAAAGACAGAGAGTGAGAAATAACTCCCAGGGGGGATGGCCATGTACCAGTTTCTTCATTCTCCCCTTGGAATTTTGGTCATCCATGCACATGTGTCCAGCATTGTTCAAGTTGCCAGCTCCTGGACTCAAACCATGCAGTCAGCATGGATCCCATGCAGGATCCAGCACCAGCAGATGGTGTGGTCAGCCACCACCAACACTACTGTGATCATGAAGCATATGCGGATGTATTCAAGAGTTGAAGTGCATCACGTCTGTAACTTGGTCTCACACCATCTCACTTGGTAAAGGTGGTGACTGTCAGGTTTCTCTGCTGTAAAGCTACTAATTTTCTCCTTTTTTAATTATCAAGTATTTTTGTAAAAATACCTAGAACCTATGTAGGCAGTCTATTTCTCATCCATTTTTACCCACTGTTTAGATTCATAGATGATTCTTTTAATTTCAGGAGTTTTACAATCTCCATTTATTTATTTGTCTATATAGTATAGATTATTTCTATTTATTCTATGGGTTACAGTGTGTTACTCTGTTTTTTGTGATAATGAGATTTTCCCAGATTTGGCCAGTGGGGGCCTATTTAGACCAACTCCATGTACTTATGACATACCCATCCTTTTTATTTTTTAATTTGCTATAGGATGCATGCACTTGCTGGAGAGAGACAGAGAGGAAGAGAGAAGATGAGAAAGCACCTCCAGGGAGAATGACCACATCACAGTTCCTTTTCATCCATTCTTCTCTTGAGATTTTGGGCATACAAGCATATGTACCTGGTGTGTTTTTCAAATGGCACAGCCAGGGAACCAGCAGTTAGCGTAATGGCTATGTCGCTGGACTCCATGTAGTTGACTGCGGTTTGCGTCCCAAACCCGGTGGCTTAAAACTCACACCGGGCGCGTGTGCGTGAGTGCCTAAGATCCCGAGAGGAGAATGGAGGAGAAGGGATTGCAGCATGACCCCCCCCTCTGGGGGGTGATTTCTCACTTTCTGTCTCTATGTCTCTCTCTGTCTGTCTGGCTAACGCATGTGCCCTATAGCAAAAACCTCTCCAAATGAATAAATAAATAAATAAATAAAAATGGCACAGCCAGTCATGTGTGATCCAGCTGCCTAACCACCGTAATACCTGGCTGGCCCACGCACCTATATATATTTTTTTTTAGAACTTCCTTTACTTTGGAACAGCAGATCATAGGACTTCCTTTACTTTGGAACAGCAATCTCATCTTGTACTTTCCATCTCAGCTGTGGACTAACTTCCTTTTCCAAGATATCCTGGCCCCTTTTTGTGGACAATAGTTTTGAGAAAACGAGATCTGGGTCCTGGATATGGTCATTGTTACTGGGGATATCACTGCTTTTAGATCCTTCAGCAGAGTGGTAGGAAGTATGTATATTTATGTATACACACCATCTTTTATCAACTCCCATATTTCTTAATATATTAAAAGCCATGAGTGTCCAGTATGTACCACCAATTCCAGTCAAGTGCCACAGGGTTCATCCTATCCTTCCCTCTTTCCATACTTGTAACTCATTCTCTCTCTTTTTTTTTTAACAGAAATGTGTTTCCTATCATCCTCAATATATTTACTCAATAGATTTGTTCAATCCTAGAATACACTAAAGTTAGTTTCAGAATTACTCATCCATAACCATTATTTTAAAACAACCTAGTGGTTGTTCAATATTTGTCTATAGTTTTCTCACTTTGACTTGAGAATGTACAGTCAAAATACTGTGTACAGAAACTATTGGTTGTGTCTTTTTTTCCTTTCTTTCATACTGGCTATGTTACTCATTTGTAACAATTAAGTTTGTTTCTGTTGTTTTCTATTAGTGATTTCACTTATCCTGTTGAGTTAGTTATATAGTAAAGTGACCTCCATTTTTTAAAAGAATTATTTTATTTAACTTTATGAATTTATTTTAATATGACCAGAGTGGGAAAGAGGAGTAAGAAAGCAAGCTGCCAGGTCCAGGACTCAAACCACCATCGGCATGTGGGAGTCCAGCACCTTTAACCACCTGCCAGCCCCATGACCTCCATTTTTAAACTGTAAAATTATTTAGGAGGACATTAGGTAAAGAGAGACATGAGTAAATAGTGAAGTCTATCTTTTCCATTCACAGAAATATCACAATGATGAAAATTCTTCCTAAATCTATTAATTCAATGCATCCCCAGTCAAAATCTGTATAGGAAGAACTTGGAAACTCATTCACATTATCCTGAAGTTCGCCCGAAGTAACAAATAAAGAGTAACATATGTCTTAATGTTTGTTTGGTGACTAATAGAGACATCCATTTGAAGTGAGAAGGTGAGTTTGCTGGAGGGCTACAGCCAGTCCAGGTCACTGAGGACACAGAGTGGAACACTGTCAGGGACAACTGCAAACTGTTTCTCCATATCCATTCCATTCTCTCTTTAGATGTGACAAGAAAATGGCTACTGGGACCAGCAGTTAGTGTAATGGCTATGTTGCTGGACTCCCATGTAGTTTACCGCGGTTCGAGTCCTGAACCTGGTGGCTTAAACTCACGCCGGGCACGTGTGTGTATGTGCCCAAGATCCTGAGAGTAGAATGGAGGAGAAGGGATTGCGGCGTGGCCACCCCCTTAGGGGGTGATTTTTGCTTTCTGTCTCTCTGTCTCTCTCTGTCTTTCTGGTGAGTACATGCACCCTGTAGCAAAAACCTCTCAAAAAAGAAAGAAAGAAAGAAAGAAAGAAAGAAAGAAAGAAAGAAAGAAAGAAAGAAAGAAAGAAAGAAAGAAAGAAAGAGAGAAAGAGAGAAAGAGAGAAAGAAAGAAAAGAAAAGAAAAGAAAATGGCTACCCCAGAACCTGCTCCCCACTTACCTGCCCCCACATGTCTGGAAACAGGACAAGTTTGTGAAAGTTGCTGTGTCCTTGGTCTGTCTCTTTCAGAATAGTCTACAAAGCTGGCCTCAGAGCAGTCATTTCTGTGAAGGGCTCTCAGTCAGTTCACTGCACTGTGAGAAAATAAAGGCTTCTCTTTGGAACACAATCAATTTGAGGTGTCTGTGGGAATCCGGTGAAGAAGTTGTGGTCACATTTAACTGGGAACCTGGAACTTAAAGACAGATGTGGGATGGAGATGTGGGTATCATTTTTTAAATGTGATGTTAATACCCAGGAAGGCATGAGGTACCTTGCTTGATAAGAAGACTCTGGACAGATACCTGAGACTCCCCAACATTGAGCACTCAAATGGAGGAAGAGAAGCAACACAGGCCCTGAAGGGAAGATATGTGCTGAGAGGGGATCAACTGGACCGAACACCGTGGAGAAGAGAATGGAGATCTGGCTTTGGGGAGGCATTGGTAATCTAGTCAGGATACATCTCAGTAGAGCAAGGGATGGTGTGAGGGATACTGGAGTGTCTCTTCAGTCAGGAGAATCAGAAGTGGAGGCTGGTGAAGGTGGAAGAATGAATAAGGTGGAGAGAGATTGGTCTTGGATAAATAGGCACTTCGTGCTTTAGACCAGGATGAGGGAGAAAATGGAGCAAATGTAGCCAGGTTTGTATGTAAAATGAGAAGATAACCAACTTCTTGTGTGAAGGGGTTTGGCATCTATGTTTCCCAAGACTTAGAAAGCAAGGTCACCAGTTGCAAATGGAGAGAGGTTGAAAGAGAAAAAAGTGTGGGAAAGTTGACTAAAGGGTAGGAAGGCCAGTCCCATGGGCTTGAGCCAGACAAGGCTGCTTACCTTTGTCTCAGAAGCACTCATTTTTTGTCCACAGGGCTTCATCTTTCTTCCAACTCATATCAGGTCCTGCTCCTCATCTCCACACT